TCCCCTTTCCCCCGGCAAGTTTTTCTAATTCGCCTGTGTGGCATCTCTTGTACCGTCATCACCTTACAGGGGGAACACTTCCTCACTTCCGGGGCTATATCTTTTAGGCTGCTTACCTCGTCTTCTTCATTCTGGGTCCTGGTCTCGTCTACAGCCGGGAGTACTTGTCTTCCCACATCTCGCATCCTTGAACCAGATTCTTCTCGTCTAGATCCTCGCACCCATCGACTGACCCCGGGAGGGGAGAGCTCATCAGAACTTTTCCTTATCCTAAAACTCCCTATCATCTCTGATTAAATGCATTTGTTCAAGTCATTACAGATGAAAAACGCATTAAATCACCACAAATTTTTTAGCAAAACCTCAGTCATCGTTGTTGCCATTTTTCGTTTCCTAACTTCCACCAGCTGCGAGATACGCCTTCAACAAAATTCGCCTTGTTCGCGAGTGTATGCGTCCTATAAATAGAACACTACAGCCGAGTTGACTGGGGGCAGTCTGGTCCCCTTTTAAACCCGCGCAAACCTTTGAAAAAAATACCTGCAAACGATCGCAACGTATCCCAAATGCATCACTTTCCAAAATATTCCAAATAATTCAGTCTCCGGAATATACCAAATAATCCATCTCCGCAATATTCCAAATACCTTACTCTCCAAAATATACCAAATATGTCATTGCAGCGTAGTTGCCAGCCGGATGGGAAAGTACTGAGGATCCCAGCATCTTCCATCCAGCAGCACGCCAATTGCAGTCTTAGCTGCTTCCCATGCAGTTCATGTCACTCTCGGTATCGTTTTCTGTGCCGTCCTGTTTCTTCCGACAGGATACACTGAAAAATAAGTCATGAAATATAGAACTGTTCTATAAGACAACCCCCAGGAAACTAAGGAAAGCTGTTTTGCATAAGCACCAGTGCATTCGGAACGTTGTGGAGGCTTTAACTTACCAACACTGCCGCGCATATTCAAATGCCAAGTTTACCAAAGATTCGTTGAAGATCTTCTGATCCGCTGTTAACGGAACTCGAATGTCTGCGGACAGTCCGAATCCCGTACGATCGGAACCAACGAACCGTCCCTCCCATTCCTTCCCATTCTCATGTAGCAATGCAATTGTTTAAGAACAAACCCCGCACCCCTCCCCACGCAGATCATATGCCCCTCCCCACAAAAAAACGACCCACTCCCCAACCCCCCAAACGAATAGCCCAACCGCCACAAAACAGTTCGTCGCACAACAGTGACGTTGTGCTACAAAATAAGCGCGACCATTCCCCCCCTCCCCCCCTCGTCCCCAGCGGTCGCGCTCTGCTACCGACCATCGGTAGCAGAGGATGCAGTGAAACAACCGTCTCACCACGCCATGAGCGGTTGTTATCGCCTGACTGGGCGCTCTGGCCTCACCCCGTGCTGCCCGATGGTTACACGAGCGATCGGGCTATGTTGCACGAAACTTTCCTTTATGTTACTTGAGCTTGTTTACGCAACGGCTCATTCGTACAGGTAATCTGTTGAAAATGCTCAAGTACTGCATTTGGGGACGGTCGTTACCTGTATAAGTGGGCGGGCACCGTTAGGAATTGTGCGTTACTCGAGCATTACACGAGCAACGCTGGGTGTTTACTTGTATCAGTTGCCGTTACACGAGCACTGTTGACATGTTACCTGTAATCTCATTTTTTCGTGTGGCTCAGAACGCGCACACAAGTGTTGCATATTATTTATATACATTGTAAGCAGAGTGATTTGCATCGACACCTACATTGCTAGTATTTTAGTGGACCAGAAAGAAGGTGAGTGACCGGAGCATGTGCGGTCAATTAAATGATT